ATATGCATCTTTTGAATTCATTCTGTTTATTATAGTTTTCGAGAAAATCAATGAAATGTGAAAACACTGCTTTTTCGAGCATTTTTGCAACTTTGAATGCGAATAACAGCCATACGGATAAAACCACAGTAATATATGAATACTTGCTTACATTCCCTAAACATTCAGCTTTCATATGCATCTTTTTTATACATTTACCTATTTATAGTTTCTAGAAAATCACTAAAATTTCGATATAGTGCTCTTACTTTTTTGAGCTTATTTTTCAACTTACTGAATTCAGCCAAACGGATAAAACCACAGTAATATATGAATACTTGTTACATTCCCCAAACATTCAGCTTTCATATGCATCTTTTGGATTCATTCTATCTAGATAAAACCACAGTAATATATGAATACTTGTTACATTCCCCAAACATTCAGCTTTCATATGCATCTTTTGGATTCATTCTATCTATTATAGTTTCCGAGAAAATTAGGTAAACACCAGACTTGGTAATGCATCTTTTGGATTCATTCAGTCTATTATAGGAAATCAATGAAATGTGAAAACACTGCTTTTTCGAGCATTTTTTCAACTTTGAGCGAATTACAGCCAAACGGATAAAACCACAGTAATATATGAATACTTGCTACATTCCCCAAACATTCAGCTTTCATATGCATCTTTTGGATTCATTCTATGTATTATAGTTTTCGAGAAAATCAATGAAATGTGAAAACACTGCTTTTTCGAGCATTTTTTCAATTTGAACGCGAATTACAGCCAAACGGATAAAACCACAGTAATATATGAATATGTGAAAACACTGCTTTTTGAGCATTTTTTCAACTTTGAACGCGAATTACAGCCATACGGATAAAACCACAGTAATATATGAATACTTGCTACACTGAAAACACTGCTTTTTCGAGCGTTATTTAAATTATGAACGCGAATTACAGCCAAACGGATAAAACCACAGTAATCTATCAATACATGTTAGAGTCCCCAAACATTCAGCTTTCATATGCATCTTTTGGATCCATTCTATATTTTATAGTTTCTACGAAAATCACTAAAATGCGAAGACACTACTTTTTTGAGCGTTAATTTTTCATTACTTGAACTGCAGCCAAACGGTTTGTTTCTAAAAAAATCACTAAATTTCAGGTAATTCCAAAGAATTATAATCCAGTGACTCTGCAAAAATCCGTTACTGGTCTTAAATCGCATTTAGGAAGCCGGCTTTCTTTCGTTGCCGGAACCGGAAGTTCGTATTTGCGTATCTTTCTTCCCACAATTCAAGAAAACACTGACAATGATCCGAGGAAACCTATTGTTTCCTGCGGATTCGCTCAAATGGAGGATTTTCTATAATTACGAACATTAAAAACGCATCCGCTCGACCGCTGCGTTTGAACGTCCATAATTTTGATGAATGAACTTCTTTGTTAACAGTTCCTCTTCCTTTAACCGCATGCATACAAGTAGTTAAGAATAGAAATGAACATTTTTAGTATTCAGTTTATAAAAGAATCTATAAAATTTAACAATACATTTTTTGGATTATTATAATCAAGTTTTAAAGAAAGATTAATTATTATAGATTATACACTTTCTTTCAAGTTGATGGAAATTAAATTGGAGGAAATTAAAAAGAAAGACGTTCTATTATTATTTTTTCTATATTTTTATTATGGCCTAAAATATAAAAAAATAGGAAAGTTTGTATATTTCATTTGATAATTGGACAATAGAAAAATATATATATTTTTGTGGATGTTGTTCGCGCAAGTTTTACATTATTATTTTTTTTGAGTTGTCTGGTTAATTTCGATGGTTCGAACAGGCCTAATGAAACGTATTTTTCTTCCAAAATTTAAAGACGATTGGCGCAATGGGGAACGAGCTCCGGATCCTCGCAGGTGAGGTTGGTCTCGTCGAAGACTTTTCCTTCACCGCAGGTGATCAGACGTGGATGTCCGTTGACGCAGGTGATGAGACGGTGGCAATCTCCGGGGACGGCGAATCTGGGGAACGGCCAGAATTTGGCGGCGATGGTGTTGGATGGTACCTTAGTTGGGCACTTGAATCCGACGACAGCTGAAGAAAAAAAAAACAGTAATTTAGAGAGAGTTTAAGGGATTGTTGTTATTTACCTTCTGGGTTGCACTTCTCGAGGAGGAGATCGGGCCAGTTGCATCCGTGGATCCTGTCATCGTAGACGAGACCTGGTTCGCATTCTTCGGCATGAGGTTCGCCATGGCCGCACTTGATGTAATGGGTGGAGCATTCGTCGCTGTGGGGGTAAATTCCGAATTGGTATTCGCATCCGTGGGTGCTGATAGGTGTCACTGAGAAAATAAGTTTGTTATCAAGTACAAAAACAACAACAACAACAACAAAATCTTGTCTTTAACTTACGATCGGCTTTACGTTGACCGCAATCGACGGCCCAATGGTAATTGCAATGATTGTAGACGGCTCCTTTACCGTCGAAGAGCAAACCGTTTTCGCACTGCTCGACGGTCAGGGTGCCGTTCGTGCAGAGGAAGAACAGGTTGCAGGATTCGGGATGGGCGTACGCCTGGATTCCGTGCTGCTCGGGACACGCTGGAGCGTCCTCGACCAGGACACCTCCATGCACTGAAACATTAAACAACAAACAAGATTAGATTTCGATTTGTAACCGAATCACGTTAAAGTTTGCCGAAGGTTATACATACATACACGCGTGTTGCTAATTCCGTTCTCGTTCGTACAGTTCTAACAAACAAAAGAGCCGACCCAAACGACTCTACACAAATTTCGTCGGAAGGAAATAAATATCCGCACTTCCGCGAAAAGAAAGTGTCATTTCCAGAAACAAATTACATGCGCGCTTTTAACAAACGATCAAAGAAGAAGAAAGCTGACTTGTTTTCAATTTGGGCTCTTTGCTTCGAAATCCAAGGATTTCGCTTCAATTCCTTTTAAAATTCAGTTCAATTTATAATTAAATTCGAGGCCACAATTTTTAATTAAATCCGTTTCAGTAAAATAATTTGGTTTGAAATTTTTCCTTTCTCATTTAAACATTAATTACATTCCACCTTATTGATTTATCATTCGTTTTAATACTAAAATAAGTGTCCCATTTCAAAAAAATTAGTTTTCTTATTAGAAAAAGATATAAAAAAAGGGATCAAATTTTTTTTGATAAACATATAAAAACTATGAAGAGAATCCAAGTTGTCAATAATGTTCACAAGAAACAATATTCTGTCAAAATTAAGTAATTATGTAAGTTAAATTTTATTTCAATTGTTTTTAAAATGTTAAATTAAAATGGGACTCTTATTTTCAAACAAAAAGACATGAAATATTACTGTTTCCACTAGATTCAAATTTCAACTCTCTACAAATAATTTTCATAAAAAAAAAGAACCTTAGAAATGAAGATCTCTTAATAATAGGAAAGTAAGAGAAATCTCAAGTGTAACAATGTAATCCAATCGAAGAAACTCCTATTCACAATTCATTCAATCTAAATGAAATAATTACATATAGAAACCCTAATTAAACTTGATGATTTATTACAAAATCTTTGGCTCTAGAGATATTGAACCGTTACGTTGTTTGTTTTGCTTATAGTTTCGTAATAGTTGAATCGATATGGGAAATCGTAATGGAAATAACCGATTCGATGGAACGGGATGTCCCGTAAACGGAAACGCTGTCGCATTAAAACGCAATCAATTTAATTGCGTCCTCATTAATTACAGCGAAAATCACGTACAAACATTCTCGTCTGCAGAGAGAATGTAAACATTCTCACATAAAACACACTGTAATTTTACATAATTCAAACTTCAACATCTTCCTGATCAATAACCAATTACAAAAGAAAATCACGTAATAAATTTGTACTTTATTCTCATGATTAATTTTGGATAAAACTATAAAGATTTTTTTTGAAAAATTGATATTACAATTATTTATTTAAAAGAAAACGTTAATTTCGTTGTCGCATAGAAAGCTCAACAATTGCTCTCCGGAATTGCTGCAAGAACAAGAAGAAGAAGAAAAGGTCCCCTTTAATTAAAGTGAAAATGCAGGCATCATTTCCTTTATTTAGTAAAAGAAAGTGGTTTCGTCTAGTTTCTACTGTTTCGAGACAGGTGTATTTTGTAAAACTGCGGTGAAATTACATTTAAAATCTGTTTGGAATTCAAAATGAATGAAAACTAAAATGTATAATTGTCGATTCTTCATTCATTTTTCTATAATTACAAACTAATTATTAGTGAATTTGATAATAATTCAGTTATTTTCAAATGCATGCATTTATTTTTTTTGTTTTAATGAAATCAATTTAAAAGTAAATATATTTTGTATATAATTAACAATTTAATTGCTCATGAAATTATTGCTTAAAAATAAACAAGGATAATTAAGATATTCCATAATTATGCAACACAGTAATTGTGTTTAATCACTGGAAAACTATGTAATAACTGCGCACAATAAAGAGCAAATGTATGTGAAAATGTGATTAATGAGCGTAAAAAAAACCACGGTCTCGTGATTAAATTTGCATTTTTTTACAAAAGTCAAAAAACTAACTTTTCATATATCATTTTTATCCTAATTTCTAAACGATTTATAAAACAACTTAATTAGTAAAAACTAAGTAAATACAGTTATGTTAAAAAATTGACAAAATTTAAAACCAAAAACTATAATTAATTGAACTAGTATTGTAATATAACGCCTACGTAAAACAACAAAAAAAAACAAAACATGTTTTTAAATGTCATGCAAACGTCTTTTTGATTTATTACCATAGTAACAAAACGATAGTGATTTTTTTTCTACATTTTCTTAATTACTAATTAGGAAGTTATTTTTAGTTAAATATAATGCGAAATGATGAAATTTTTATTAATATGAACTTATTTTTATACCTTTACTATTGAACAATCGTATTTTTATAAAGGAAATTACATAAATGATTGAGCGCGCGTTTTCGAGTTGTCCATTTAAGAAAAGAAAAAAAGGAAAAGGAAAAGAATGAAACGTAACGATCGATCGTTCGATAATAATTCCGAAACTAGTTTCGAAACGGTTTGCCAATTATGAGACCGAAAAAATGTGGAGCAAATTTTCGATTGCATAATTCATCGAAGTGTGTGTGTGTGTGTGTTTGTGTCATTTCTTAGTGTGTTGAATAGAATTTTGTTGCTTGCTAGGAATGAGCGATAAATGTTGTATGTGTATCTAAATAAAATAGAAGGAAATAGAAATTTTGCTTTTTGGCTGGAGGCGATGCGGAGAGAAAGAACTGTTTGTTCGATAATTACAGAATTGTCCCCAATACATACGGTCGGCGGCGATTTCGTGTCGGTGTCCAAAAGAGCAAGAAACTCCGCAAACAACTTTTACGAAAGGCGATAAAGCGTACCGCGAACGAGCGAAAATCGATTCGTTGCGTAACTTCCCTCTTCGAATCTGTTTCCTTGGTAATACGGAGGGTGTCTTTCGTTTGTTATCAATTCAAAAGTCTTCACTTGTATATTTTGTTTCAATAAAAATAAGTAAGGGGATGTTTTTTTCTCTTCTTTTTCTTATTCGTTTTTCTCATTTTAGGTGGTTGTTTATAGATGTTGTTAGTTTTTTGTATGTTTCTGGTTATCTTTGTGTGTTAGTGTTGACTGTTGGTGGTTGATGGTTAACATACCCAGGGCGATGACGGCGGCGGAAACGGCGGCCCAAAGAAACGCTCTCATGTTGCTGCTTATCCTTGGTAACTGAGCACTACTACAACACTTCAAACAGCACTTTCTACACTGACTGCTGTACCCTTCACCTATGGTATTTTACCATTCGGTATCTCACTCGCTTTTATGGACTGTCTGTTCCTTACTTGTATGTGTGAGTGGGTATGGGTGCATGTTCTTTATTTGTATCCGTGTGTCTCACACATACACACACACACACACATACACACGCATCGAGTGTATGCGAATATTATTAGTTATGCATCGGCAATCTCTTTCGGCCCGGACGATGGAAAGAGGGGACTTCGAAATCTACTCCAATTCACTCGTCCCACCCAATGCACCAAAGAACCCGGCTGTAATTAAATATTTTTCGTCTGTTCCACACGACCACACACACACGAGACCTCGAAATAAAAAGAAATCATCGAAAAATCTGCATAACTACAACAACCAGCAACTTCATTCAGGATTGCCGCATCTCTTAATTACAAGTACCAAAGAACTGCAACATTCATATCGAATCTCATAGTTCACAACCTTATGAAATCTACAAAAAAATTTAATAAAAGTTATCAATTA